CGGCCGTCTCTTTAATAGGTTGCGTCGAATTGCTTAGCTACACTTGTGCCGTTTACTTTCAGATTTTGAAAGGTGTCATTGTACTTACTTATGTACAATACTCTGCTTGTATTCCAGGGGATTTATTAATGTCTGACACCTCGTTCATCATCCTTGGCTTAGCTAGTTTCGAAGTTAAAGAGGTGCCTTCAGTACGGTCATCCTCCAAGTTAGCTTTCCAGGATGTCCGCTTAAAGTTATATCTTCCAGCACTCAGTCTATGTTCCAGCCATCAACTCCTTGTGCCTTGGTAGTAACACTCTTGGTTTTCCGCAGTCGCTCATTCGCTTGACGCAAGGACCTGTTTATCCTGCAACTGAGGTTCTTTTTTGCTGCCACCGTCCATAGATGTCTCGGTTAACCAGCATGGTCTTCTGTTAGATATCAGGCCTTCATTCTTGCATCCGTCGCCGAGTTAGTATCTACTCGACTATACACTACCTAGATTCTTCTCTGTCGTAGCTTTTCAGGTCAATTCTGACACCAATTTCCGGACTGGTGTAAATGTGACTGCGGCTTTCGCTATTGTTTCCATTTTGTAAAAGTGGAAGTCGACCAACATAGAAGCTCGATTTTTCTTCGATTGCTGACGGTGAAGGTTCCTACCCATAGTTCCGGCGTCCTTTTCTGCCAATATCGCTTTATGGTGGTTCTGAAAACTCTAGATCTTTATTGTCTCGTGCACCGCACATTAGCTGTCCATTATGCTAATGGCAAATATCCTAGTTTTTTTTGGGACCTCTTCTGATCGACTGAAGTTCCCTCCGGTAGCCCTTCAGACTACCAGTTGTTTTCCTTTTAGATTGTACGGATGAGTGTTATTGTGTTTTAGCAAGACAACACGGTTTCAGATATTTTGGTCCTGGCTGTTGACTGATCCGTTGTAGTGTTGGGTTTTAAGGCGTAGCGACTTTCGAAATCTTTACATGCAGGCATAACCGTGCTGTGACGAACACCAGGTCTGTGCTGGAGTCGCTGTCTGTCTCGTCTCTCCGAGCTCGCTCTCCGCGTACCGCGATTTCAAGCTATCACTTTAAGTTAATTAACACATAAGCCACTGTTACTGCGTCCACTCTGCCATAAGGCGAACGGTGAACATTGTCGATCGCGACCGTCAAGCGGTCATTAATCGCGGAGCTGTGTCTCTTTGGTTAGGTATGCAGATTATGCTGGCTTAGGTTCTCGCTGCGCTGATGGACTAACTGACTGATTTCAACTAGAGTACTCTATTCTTTAGACCACTAAGGCACAATACTGGCAGACATAAACCATCTGCATGTTTGAAGTCACTAAGGCGATGTCCTACAGTTCCAGCATCTCAAAAATCTCGTGAACCATTATGGGAGCAGAACAAACGTCAGGGTTCAACCCTATCAAGCTACGGATCACAAAATGCTGTCGTTGAGTAGCGCTTAAGGCGAATCAACAGTAGACTTAAAGAGCATTTATAACGTTTGCCCACATTATTCACCATACGGACATACAGTGAGTGGAATTGAGTGGTAGAGCGAAACCAGCCAAGTTGTCTGTTATGGTTTGTTTTTAGCCACGACGGACGTTGAAAACATAGCACAGTGTGAATGTGTGATCGAGGCAGCCACATTGTCCGAATCCAGTTTAGTTGGGTCTCGTTTTTGAGTCGTGGATTTTTGAAGGCGTCTGAGAATGACTATGACCACACTTCTGTTTGCCCAACTTTACCACTGTTTTTTTACGCCTTCACTAATATAGCGGCCTGCATCTATTTAGTGTCGGTTCATTTTCTGCAATGAAATATCGCTTGTTGCATCTTCAATGCACAAAGACACCCAGCCTTTATCCTTTGCCAGTATTTTCCTCCCTCTATGCTGCTGTTGCTAATAAGTGTGCTGGGGCCTTTCTTTTTTTAAGGGCGTGATCCTGAGCATGCTCTCCGGCGCCATGTGGATCTCCATAAACTCACCGCCCTGGGTCATGTCAGATGGTAGGAAGGTGGGTGACCTTTTATTCCTTTTTGTGGTATTAACCCTACTTCTTTTTATAGACCCATCTTTACTACCCCTCCCGTGGAGCCCAGCTGGCCTTTGAGGCAGTCATTATCTTCAGTTTATGTATCCTTTGTGGTCTTGGCCTCCTAACGGGTGTGTTTGGAGTGACTAGTGAGGGAGAGGGGAGGGGTGGATATTAGAGGTCA